TCTGTAATTGTAATTTATGAAAGCTGCGCTCTCCCTGAGAATATTAATCGATTGCTTTTATTAAATTTAAATTCTTTATTATCGCTCAATTATTTTTTAATTACGGGACAATTTCCTTGACATTTATGGTATTTTTTCAGTATTCCATAAAATATTTAGTCATATATGTTCTACACAATTAATTATATGAGATATTGTGTTTCATATTGTATCAATTTTTGCTCTAATTTCCTAATATATTATTTTTATTTATCATGTATATGTTTTTTGTTCATACGTTTATTTTTTGACGTTATGCATTATATTAAAAGAGAGAAATTTTCATCCGTCCTTGAGCATGTGGAATAAGTACGTAGTATATTCTAACTTATCTTACCAACATTTTATATTGTGCATTTTATCGATTCACCTAGATTCGGCGACTAAAATGTCATCCCACTCGTCGCAACTTAAATAGAGCTTTAACGCGTTCATCAATACTTTGCAGCGTCGCTGAAACAGCAAGTTTGTGTTCACGTCACGTCGTTACTCGGAAAATAGATCAGGTCCAAATTTCGGCGATAAAATTCGGCAGCATGTTGATGACGATTTATCCGCGCGACTTACGTGATGCTTGATCATGCTCGGCCATTCATTGCTTAATCAATTAAGCGGCCGATTAATTATCGCGCGGAAGGACAGAACGCGATATATAGGACACCGGTAATTAAATCGTCACATCGAGTCCAATCGTACTCGAGAGAGAGATCAGAGAAAGCCGATGAGCATAGCAGCGGCCACAAATGATTTTGTCGTAACGACGTGGGATATCCCGGACCGGCCCCTGTGCCCGGCTAATTAAGTCTTAGTCGTATTCGCGTGCTTCTTTTGCTCGTTGTCGATCCTTCCGAGAGGCAGCCGACTTTCGGGTTGGACGCGTCATCATCAAAGTTGATTTACATGGAACGATATCGGAGCGCGAACGTTTATCGCAAATTCGACGAGACATTAAATTATTAAAAATTCATACATCCTATCGCGATTTTATTGCGCCTCTTGTTTTAATTGAAGGCTACGTTTTCTGCTTTTTTTTTACTAATGCCGACATGATGATTCTCTATAGCTACGTTACATCTCTTTTGGGATTTACAGGATTGTTCGATGCAGACTCGATGCTATATCGACAACATACGGTTGTGAAAAAAGTCCCGTAATTGCACATAAAGAGAGACAAGAAGCAAAACAAGTGTAGTTGCACCGCTAATAAACGATAATTGAGCCGCTCGTGCGCATCCGATGTATCGTACATTGACTTATTAGCGAAATGTCGCTTCCGAGTATTTTCTAATGCAATAAAGTAATAAATATGTAATTTCCCGTGCTTATCGATGTTTACACGTGATTAAATTCGAAATGAATAAAGGTGCGCTATTCGCGTGTGCGTGATTGTTTTATTGCCGTATTTTCATGTTATATTAGAGTTTAAATTTTTATTGTATTTTTTTCAAGATTTAATGATTTTGGATGCGATATTATATTTTATTCCTTATTATTATTATATATAAAGAAATATATGTATATTGCTATATAATATTAATATTGCTTTGATATGCTAATGTACGTTATATTTGTTTACTGTTTGGTTACGGAAAATCGTACATTATCAGAATTTAATTATAATAAATTAAAATGTTATTGGAAAGATCACAAACAAGTAATTAATATTAATTAAGAAATCGATTCTTACTGATACATATATTTATTTTTTGCAGCAAGATAATTAATTATTCATACGCCATATGTATAAAGAGTAATTCAAACAATATTTAATAAAACATTTTAATTATAAAGTACATTTATTTAAAAATGACCGACAACATGCTCAGATTCTCACTTAAATATTTAATTATATACAGAGCTTGCACATTTTTTTATTTCTAACTTGTTAAAATCTTTATTAAAACCTTATTGTAACCATTTTTTATTTTTATTTTTATTTTCTAGTCAATTATAACTCTTTTCTACATAGTGCGATAAATAGCAATGTTTATTAGTTAAAAAGGTAAAACTCTTCTCTCGACCGTACTGGCAAATATTATTTATTAAATCACAACGTTTCGACCCTTCTTTGAGTCCTTATCAAGTGATCTAGATATATGGTACATAGAGAAGAAATACAGTACAGAGATTAATACAATAAAAAAAATTACTTCACTTAACAATATTACAAAATAATGAAAAGAAGCGAAACATACTTGTGAAATAAAAATAAAATTATAATTTTAAGATGTCAAAAATGAATATAGTGTCGGTTTGACAACACGTCAAGACTCTTAGACGAGTTATGAGAGACTAAACGACCTTTATTATTTTGTCGTAGATATTACTTAAATTGTCGATATCCTTTTGTAAGTTAATAGCGTTATTATTTTTCTTAATAAAAAACATTTCAGCGATTTCTCGTTTTCTTACGTGTTTTTCTGTGCAAAATAACCGGCGAAGTCCAGTCAAAATCGTGATCGAATTCAATTTTATGTTTGCTGATAACTGATAAATTACTCGAATATATGCATTTTGATGTTGCTGAAATGTTCCTTTACACGTGTACATAGATTATTTCTTAAATTCTGTCTTAAATTCTGCGATTCTCAAATATCTACGTTTTTATTTGTTTATTATTTCTCTCGGGTTCGATTCCCGATTCAGCGACTTTCGGATCTATATTTTTCTCTTGCATTTATTTATTTATTTCCGCAGGGAGGTTAAAGGATTATTGAAATTAAATCTCAAATATATGAGATTATTTCATATTTTAAAATCTTGGCCGTGACCAAGTAAAATTTGGTGCCTTGTGCACAGGTATTTAATTTAATGAAAAAATTTACTTTCGTTGCAATAACGCACTGTCATCCGCGATTGGCTCTTGTTGCCTGTCTTACACTTTAAATTTATGTTTATTATTTACTTTTTTATACGATGTACTGAGAACCCCTGTCTTAACCAGGTAAGACGATGAAGGGGGATCGTCGACGCAATCTGGCGTCTCGTGTGCTCCAGTGTCGGCTATCGCGATAAGTGATAGCGAAAGAGCGTCGAAAAATCCACGTGTGTGTACACGGAGCCGTGCACGGGCGGGCGTGGGAACCGCAAATAAGGGCCTTATCGTTCCGGCCTAAGAATGATAACGATTTTTTGCTGCCGGCAGCTCCCGAAGGGGAAATCATCTAATCGATCTGCGAATCCTCCCTGTCGTCGTCGTGTTGGAATTTCGTGTTTCCTCCCCTATCGATCGTATAAAAACAGCCGGAATATATAAAACCGCGGCGTGCGAGCTTTCGTAACCGGCGGCGAGAGATCGATCGATCGCATCGTAAATCGACAACGCGACGTCGTTGTTCCTTTTTTCCGCCGATACCGTCGTTATTTGCTGATTTCGGCGCGCGATACTTCGAACAGAGAGGAGTTCATGCATGAAGAGCGTTGTTCTGTTCCTTTCACCGCGTGTGTTCCTATATCCCTTCCATGGGAAAGTACACAAATTCGAAAGTGTAATGCGACTTGGATGTGTATCGCGGGCGATTACGCGTGTGTACGTGCTTCCCATCAATGCCACACTTCCGTGAGATATATTTTGGTATTTCATCTTTAGCTTCAAGGTAGCGTCTTCTTTAAGGGCTTCAAAATACGGAAATAGAAAGTCACAAACACATCCGTTTTTATTTACAAGCAATTGATAGTCTAGAAAATTAATCCTTACTTGATAAATCTCTACTTTGTGGAATAAATCTTTCTCTATATGCCTAATGTTTTATTGCGAATGAATCAATTTGAATTTACACGCACACATTTTATTAAAATATTATAAGTCTATATATTTTACATGTATGATATAAGTTCGGTCTTTCCAAATTATTTGATTTACGAATATGTTAGCAAAGCGATATTTGTATTGATAAAGACTGTCGTACAGTCGAAACGTTTACTAATTATCATTTGTATTATTTTCATGACTTAGAATAAATTGTTAACACCTAATTAATCAGCTCGTTAAATTGGCCTTTTAATTTCTAACTTATTTGATTAAAACCTTCTTCCATAATCTTCTCATGACTAGTTTCCAACTCGTACGCGATAGTCTAGCGTGCGCATCAAATTCAGTGTTCGCCCGATGCATTCGGTGCATATCCATTCGTGCAGCGAGCGTTTGGCTAAACGCTCTCTAATTTGCAAAAAAGCGCGAAAACGGTCTCCACCATCTGGCGTCTGCCACTTCGCGTCCCTGAGAGCTCTCGTTCGTCTCTTCGGGGTCGTGGAACGGAGAAGACCATAGGAGAGAAGACACACACTGGCCCGCGGGGCCTGTGATGAATTTCTCGCGAAATGTCTGACATTAAGCTACGACCAAGTTCAGCGCCCAGGGCGCGTGCCGTGTGGCACGTATATTTGTAATTCTAATGGAGAGAACGCGCTCGTGTGGCGGGCTCTTTCTCTCTCTTTCTTTTTCCCTCCCTTTTTTTCTTCAGCACGTAATAGTCGAGCAGGAATTCGGGGCCCAGGGCTGCGGTCCTCCTGGAAAAAAGGTGGGCTCTCTCCGAGAGATAGGCGCGGTGCGCCTCCAAGATCGTCCGCGACGTCCACACCCACCCTTTAGCCCGGATCCGCTTTTAAAGCCAAGGGCCGAAGCCGCTCATCAACCAGATCTATGTCGGCGAATCAATTCACGCTGCATCGTCTGCGTCGCGTAACGCAACATTATACGAATCATGTCGCGGGTATCATAAATATTACACGCGTCGTTATAAATGATTTTAGTAGCGCATGCTCCTGCCATGCATCGTCATTACTGTGATTGGAACCCGAGATACGTCAGAACAACTGTTCTTCATGAAAGTTCTTCCAAAAGGAGATGTTCTGCTGTTGTGTGCACAGACTCATTTGAGAAAAAAATGATGAAAGAGTTACTTATATTGTAAAATCGAATTTCTCTTTAAAACGCTTTGTATAAAATAATTATCCTCTTTGAATTTCGAATTATCCTTCTTCACAATAACAAAAACATTGTTCGTTAAACTTCTAAAGACGTCGGCTAAGCGATCTCGAACGTGCAAAGTTATCATTCGTCTCACAATGTTTCGCCAGCGTGAACGATGCTGCGGAATCGCTTATCATCCGCGCGAATACGTAGTGTAATTGAGCATGTAATTAAAAAAGGGCTTGATAATGGTCGCGCAATAAAAGTTTCTCAAAGCGATCGAACGCGCTATTAAATCTTGTAATTGAATCGACCAATAGGCGGGAAACGATTTCCACTTTCTCTCTCTCTCTCTCTCTCGCATCTTCACACTTATCTATAATCTTATAACGGCGAAAGACAGTCATAGTTTTCGAAGCGGCTTCAATTTCAACGCGAAAGATCGCTCCTTAAGCCGCTGATAAATAAAAGATTATTGTGCCCCATTCAGCACGAGTGGCGAGCTCCGCGGGATCCTCGCTGGATAAGTGGGACAGCTTTACGCAAGTTTTTATATCCTCGGCATTGTCACTCTTGGGCCCCTCATACCACTTCGTGCGGAGCTCTACCTGCCAACATCGCCGTTCCATGGATCTTCCTTTGGGCCGACCATTGATATACGTCGACCGTAAAAGCACGCTGCCGCCTGATAATGCGCGAAGAGATCCATACGGTGGTAGGGCGAGAAAAGGGCGAGAAAGAAGGTAAGAGAGAAGGAGAGAGGCATAGTGGCTGGTGTAGGGTCGCGTCGATGATGGTTGTGGCGACGACATAAATAAGGGTCGTTGGTACGTGCGCAGGTATAACTGTTCCCAAAGTGAGTACACATCGTCGTGTATACCCCGTTGTCTTGTCTTCCTCCACGTCGTCCGGTGAGAACCGCCGGAGGCGTCTTCCTTGACTCGCGACTCCGAAGATGACGCGCCCATAAATGCGAGAGTGTGCGCGTTTAATTCTCCTTCGCGAGAGGGCCGCCTCTCGCTTCCGCGATTTTACAAATGTGACAAGAGAATTTCGTCCTCGCGCTCTGATATTGTAATCAGTGTTGTGCTTGGGTGATTTTTAAATTAGTTAGATAAAGATGAGATAAAAATATGTAAATTTATCTTTTAGATGAGATAAAGATGATTTTGTTTTAAATATATCTAGATCAAAGATAAAATTTAATGGCGATTTATTTAAATAATTTTCACATAATATTATTTTTAAGACTGCTTATGTAAACACAGTTATAAAAAATGTATAAATTATAAAAGGGATTTAAAAATATACTCCTTAAAATAATTAAGGGATTAAACAAATTGTCCAGAAAACAGGCAAATTGTAATTTTGTTTCGAAAAATAATAATTTAAATTTTAAAAGGAGGTTTTAAAGCTTGAAATGTATACTTTCGAAAGATTACAGAAAACGATGAACATAACGAAATGGAAAATGTTTTCTGTGTAAATATGTCGATATGATAGATATGACTTACTGCGATAATTTCTTTATAGTGATCGGTATATTTCAAATTTAAAATAATCGATGTGTACAATATGTTAAAAAAAATCTTGATTTTCTTTGATAAAAAATTTGAGAAAAACCCTTGAGAAAACTCGCGAATTTCTTCGTTATTTTCATCTATTTATAAAAGTTGACGAGTTAAAAAAAATTCAGTCTCTATATCATACTATAGAGAAAAGATTCAGCTTTAAAAATCCATTCTTAAAATTGCTGTACGATAATTTTTAACAGAGTTATGAACGATTGAAGTAAAAATGACATTTTCTCTTCAATTTACGATAACTTGATAAGGAAAGATCGAAATTTAAATTGTAAAAAACGATTTTGCAGGGAAAACTTCAGGCTTTAGCGTAAAAATGTCAAAAAATTGTCTTCAAATCATCTTGTGTATACGACATGTCTACAAAGTGAGAAAAAATTTTCCATTTTGTTATGTTCGTCGTTTTCTGTTTGTAAGAAGTATCAGAATTAAAGAAAACGAAAAAAACTATGACCTTTTAAAAGTAGAGATTTCAAGCTTTAAAACCCTTTTTTAAAATTTAAATTATCATTTTTTGAAACAAAGTTACAACTATTTAAAATTTACCTTTTTTGGACAATTTTTTGATCGTTTAATTATTTTGTATATAATATAAAAATTATGTTACACGTCATACACGAATATTCAATATAATGCACAAACAATACGTTAAAAATAACGAGGAATCTATAGATACGTAGAAACGCGTTTGATTGAGGGATATTTTGTTGCCGGGTCATCGTTAGAATTTATTGATACACCTTGCATAGTTTGTAGAGTGCGATAATGCGACAATTTACTGAATTCCCAGTGACAGAAGCATTCAGTAGGCTCGGCATGGAATTAAAAGATTATTAATTGGATGTGTGCGTAGCAAGAGAACCGCTCAGTGGGAACTTTATATGGGGATTCAAATGATCACCGTGAGCGGCGAGTGGGATGAGATAACGAACGTCAAGTTGGATTACAGTATCCCATGGATTTCCGACTGCTGCCTGTTATTTCGCCGACAATCTCCAGAATCTTATGAATTTTTTCTCCCTATACGAGAAAGTCTCTCTCTCCCACGAGCGCAAGCTCTCGGCTCAAAGCCGCGAACCATCAAAGCCCGCGGGTGGCAACAATCGCGTCTCTCTCTTTCTTTTTCTTTCTGTCTCTCTTGTATAAATTATGCCCTAATGAGAAGCAACGTGTCGAGTGATCGTAAAGGCCCAAGCCGGATGGCACGTTGATGCGTTACGATCGAATCTCTCGTGGGATATTCGTGAAATTCCAAGGCGCGAGAGTTGCCGAAAGCGCCGTTTCACGATCCGTTAGTCGAATTAGCACTTGTTGCCTCAAATTATGATTTGACAGCTACCAAGTCTTCAGAAATGCCGACGCGATCGTCTATTCGACGATTTTACGAGTATTATTACATGCTTATAATGTATTTTATGGAGCGAATTGAAAAAAAGACACGAAGAAGCGGCCTTCTTCATGTTTTTCGACCTGATCGGGCACTTGTTATTCTCGTGAGAATGAAAATAATTTTTTTAAATGTTTTCTCTGAAAACTTTATGAGTTTAATGTTTAAATGGACCCACAGTTGCCATCTTTCAGTCGCTCACGAAACTCAGTCTACCATGTCGTATCGGATTCATAGTTGTCGATGAAGTACCGTTAAAGTCATAAATAAATTTTCATGTTTAACTAATTTAGTTGGTCGTAATTATTTTCAGGTTTCTTTCAATAATCAAATTCATTTCAGAGAATGCTATTATCAAGTACATGATCTCATAATCTCACCTATGACATGTTTACAACATTTAAATAACGTGGATAAGTTTATGTTGGTTTAGATTATCGAATACAAATTTAAAATATATTATGTTAAAATAAGAATAATTGTGAAATATTATTATTATAATATTATTTGAAGACAAATTATTTGAGAATAATATAAGAAATAAATTACAAATTATTCTGATAAGAATTATAAAGACGAGAAATATTATTTTTTAAGTAAAATAACAGCTTTAAATATGTAAAAATGTAAAAAGTTGCATTATTTATTCAAGTAAACGTAAAAGTAACAATAATTATTTAATATTGCTCTATCGGTTAATATTGCTTTATCTTCAATTTAGGTACACCCGTTAGATGGCGACAAGATAGATACGTTCGTTCAGGTAAGTCTGTAAGTTAAATCTGCTTGGTAATCTCACTTTTCAGCATTCTTCAACTTACCGTATTCTGAAAATGTAGATTTTCTGAACTTATTGTATCAATACAAGATACAATAAATTATTTAAATATTGATTTTTGTTCTATATTTTTTAAAATTGTGTATTTGCTATGTGGTTGTAATAAATAACAATTCCTTATTATCATTAATATTACAATGTGACTTAAAAACAAAAATTTAAAAGAAAAATGTTTCCAGCTTAGTTAACTATTATATTGTAGATAAATATTATAAGTGCTTCTGCATAATATACGCAAAAAGAATTATTATAATGTTTTTTAAAATTATAGACAAATAAATAAAGCATTAGAAACAATTATTAAATGTATAGAAACGAGTCAAATTACTTGTATCACAAAATAATATCAATTGAAGAAAATGAAGAGATAATTAATTAAATGAAAATTAATTAATTTCAAGTTTGCATCGTGTATCGTTGGAATAAATACCCAAGAACATTTGCAGTAAAGATTTTATAAAGAGAATTTTAAATGAATTAACTGTTATGTTCGAGAAAAGATTTTCTGGCATGAAACCAAGTGAACCTTTCGAGCAAATGTGCACAAGCTTTCACCAGAACGAGTTACACCTTCAGGCTATGATCGAGTCTCTTCGTCGCTCTCTTCGAGATCGACTCCTCTGTTCTTCACTCGTTCTACTCTTCTTTATAACCATCTGCTTCTCTTTCGCACTTTCCACCCGCGATCGAGACGAGATCGACCTGCTTCCAAGCAAGATAGATGAAAATCATATTGTCATCGAGAACGATATCATCATTGATGTCTCGTGCTATTAGATCAACGCAATTCTTTCGACTATCCTGTCATTTGGTTCTTATAATTGCAGCCCGCACGCTCTTCTTCATTTTAACCTTCCTCTATGTAGATCCTGATCTGCTTAAAATTACACGTTTCTCTCAAACACGAAATGAAACGTTGAGGGAAAATAGAATCAGAAAACACAGCGCAATCAAGTTTCCAGTTCATTTCCGTTTGCTCAGAATATGTTTCAAGTTTATCCTAGAAGTCCAAGAAGGATTTTGATTTTAAACTTGTTCTAGCATGCCAGTAAATTACAGAAATAAAGCAGAGAAGAAAAGAAATAAATGATCTAAAATAGAAAGTACTTACTTTAAAAAAGCTTCAAATTCTTTTTACTTCAATATCTTTTTTATATATATTTGTCAGAAAAAATATTGCTCTTGTACCAAAAGTTACATAACGTGTTGCTTCATCAAAATCTTTATCAGCTGATCACGTAGACGAAGGTGTCGATTGCTTGCTCTAGAAGTGTATTATGTTTTAGTCAATTGACTGATACTCAGCTTCTTTCCTCGCCACACGAGGAAACAGAGACAGCAACACGGCTGGTCATGGGTAAGAGAGGGAGAGAAAAAGAGAGAGGATCGCCGGCAGTAAGGAGGAGGAAGGCCAGCCAGGATGGTTGGTGATCGGCTTCGGATCCACGAGTGGCAGTTCATGGTGCGAGTAGCCGGCGCACAGTCAGTCACCAATTCCAACCAGTCGGTTGTTGTAGTCAGTCGGTATTAGACAAGCAGCTCCGTTCGCGGGGCCGCTCTCGCGCCTCGATTTATTTCTTCTTTTTTTTTTACTTGTTTTTTATCGGAAATTGCACCCTTGATTTTCGTTTCCGCAACGAGATCATTTATTCGACTCGAGAGGTCTTCGGAGTGGAGCGCGAACTTAACAGTAAGTGCGCGGAGTGTCTCGATATCGAGTGCTGGATGAAGACACTTGTCTGGTATATAAGTGATAAAGTGTCGGCTGCGCGAGGACTCGAAGAGGTGCTCGAACGGGCTCTTGTTGGCGATATTCTAGAAGAAGCTACAGAAACCTGACTACGGATGGTTAACGTGAGTATTGTGTTAAGTTGAGAATACGTGCGAGAATACAGTGAATTTATTAATAATCTCCTGTATTAAATTAAGCCTTGGAAAGATATGTTTGACTTAATAAATACGTTTAAATTTTCATCATTTTTACTCAGTATATTAATATTAATACAAAAATAATTAATAGACTAAAGTATTTTATTCAAGTTTCTGTAATGACGATTTTTAATTTCACTAACAGCAAATTACATTAACAACAAAAAGCATTAACAAAAAATTCTACCAATATTTATGTTTCAATTATATAGAGTAAATTTTAATGCTTTTTGTTGAAAATAAATATCAATTTTGGCGGAAAGACATAATAATACTTAAATATATATTTTAAACGGTAAGGTATTGAAAATATTGAAGCTACATGTGCCACACATACACAGATGAAGCTTATTGAGATCTTTAAATTATTTTCTTTTAAATATTAAATGGAAATATTGTATTCTATTCTGTCATTTTTTGTTTAGTCATACAAGTTTGATGATTATCTATTTAGGCCTTGCTTCGAAAAATCGCTGGCCCACTTTTCTCTTCGCTCTCTGTATAAAGCTAGTTTTGGCTTACGAAAGACTTCTTCATACTGCCCACATATCTCCACTTCAGCGATAGTTTTCTATGGAATTTCTAGTAAGGTGCGGCGAGCTATGTGACTTGAATGATTTCTTTGCGTGAAAGTCATTTCGCTCTGTTTGCACCGAATCTATAATAGCTAGTGAAATGGAAACTATTGGCCCGCGCGTGGCATAATGATTTTAGCGCGACAAAAAACAAATAATGTAAGTAAAACAGTGAAATAACAGCAGTTTTTACCTTACCGAGTGTGAAATATTAGCATCTTACCTAAAAAGTCTTCTTCACTATTTAATTTTAATTTCTTATTAGTACATTTCATATATTTTTTATAATATAGTATATGTAAATATAGTATAGACATATAAAGTTTGAAACATTGTATAATAACTGGAAACATAATTATTTATTATGTTGATTCCAAAATTAGAACGTACCTGTCTTATAATAAAGGATTAAAATTATAAATTATTTTTGCATGACAGATTACTTGTAATATTAATTTGAGAAAGCTTACAATACGTGATTTTGTATTTATTCAAACTTTGAAGTAATAAATTTTCTACTAGAATGGTTTCATGGATTTGTTACGCTTCGTATAGCGGTCCGCTGTTCTAAACTCTAAATACACATACACACATACTGTTTACGACCTTTCATAGTATATAATTTCTCTTCTATATTTGTACAATTTCCGATTTAGAAATCGACTAGTTCTCAATTTTATACGCAATTCTGTTTACATTAATTAGCAGCCACTTTATTTGAAACTACTTTATTTGTAAAAAGTGTATTTTAATATGCACAAGACTTTCTAAAATTAGCAATTTTTCGTAACAATGTGTTATATCAAAGCAATTTTACTTGCCATCAATTTTTTAAACCTTTATTTTTCAATTACACATCTTATTATTTATTTTAAATTAAAAATTAATAATTATTACGTAATATTAATATTTTTATTTGCATATTAAAATTGATGTGAAGAATAGTTTATAATATATAATAAATAATTATTACTACATCAAAAACAAACTGTCGTAAATGATACATCCGACCTCTTTCTTTGTCCCTACAATTGCACATGAACTCAGTAATCTTGTTTAATACTTAACATAGATTACTGTAATGAGTTGTCCGCGAATGTAAGACGTTGTTGTGAAAGAATTCATGCGGCCCTGAAGCATTTTTACTTTCGAATGCGTCACCCATAACCACAAATCTCTACCTACGTTTTCAAACTCTGTCTCGAAGTCCATTAGCTTAGGTCAGTCATCTCACAACAGTCAACCTTATAAGCAAACATCTTCTCGTAGTGTATAATTTATGTAATACTTCCTCCGCCCAAAAATGTTGTTTTATAGAAAATGAGAAGGCGATTATGACATCTATTCTTTTGGAACATGTTTGAGAACCATGACATCTTTATGACACTTATTATAACATCTGTGACGTCAGAGAATATTATAGTTGTTGTTACTTCCGATCTCTTCTTCTCAAATATCATAAAGGTATGACATAAAACAGACATAATAGTTGTGTATTCTTAAAAGAAAATTACTACGTTTGCAACGCAACTCGTAATGTTTTTGCGTCTCGCTCGATGTATCGCTCGCATGCAATTATTATATCAGGGTGAATTAATTACGCGCTCTTACTCCAGCAATTAGCGCATTGACGTCTTGAATTTGCACAAGTTGCTCGTTGCACTTTCACGGCAACGAAATCCGTGCTAGAAGATAATCCGGTCGTCAAATGAAGAAACAAAAGAGAGAGAAAGAGAAAGAAGGGAAAAAAGACGAGTTCACCTGTTCCCCTCTCGTGTTCTCGACATGGTCGAGGAACCTCGAAGTCGACCGGCGCCGTTTCTACTTCGTCGCCGCTACGAGATTCTCTGCCTCCCGCAAAACCGGGTCTTCTTCTCTCCACGACCTCGAAACACACAAATTATAAACGGCGCGAATGTCGCGAGTATAGGAACATCGATAGAAGAGGCCGGTATACGAGAGCACTGACATAAGGAAATTTAGAGACATCTCGACCTGCTAACATAAAAAATAATCATTTTGATTAACTGCTTAATATTTTAATATTTTAGGCATTAAAATAGAGACTTTAAAAGATATTTTACATATGGAAAAACCGGAAATCATAAATATTTAAAGGTAAATTTGTCTTACATTTATGAAGATATAAATTAATTTTTTACTATTACATTTTTTTTAAATCTACTCACAGAAGAGAAATTCTGAACAATAATCCTTTGAAAAATGATTATTTATATTTAAAAAAAATATTTTTGAAATAAATATACTTTGATATAAATAAATAAAACTAGTTAACCATAAGATCTTTTATATAAAAAAGTATTATTTTATATTGACACACATATTTGAACATATAGCTCATCGCAGCATAACACATTTCAGTCAAGTTAAAAATGATCCAAGAAAGGATTGTAGAAAGTCGAATTTTTCAGATATCCTCGGATAAAGAGATGCATTCTCCTTGTCATTCAGAATTTACTGCTGCCAGACGCGGCCCTTCCTCGTTCTCTCCCGCAAGTGGAACCGGCCGTAAAAATGCGAGCTAAGAGAGGGCACGTCCTGCATATAGCCTCGAGATTTATTAATCTGCTATACATATATTAGCTGCCCGTGTCGCTGTGTGCAACCTTTGCGTGTTGGATTACGAGACGACTCGAGCCGCATTATTACGCGACTCGAGTTTTACATTCCTGCGTAGGTGTTGTGGTCTTCTTGGTCGGTCGGAACAATAAATATGTCTGCGATATTTATTTCTTCGTATAGTGAAAAGTCATCATGTTTCAGCGGACGCCTTCTTCTTGAGTTCATAGAACATGCATTTATTTTATTTTTTTTCTTTTTGTCTAGCGATGCTGATAATTAAGTTTTAAACCAGGGATTCTGAAGCCTGGATATATTGAATTCTTGTATCGTGATAGTGTTGAACATAATTCGTTGTGAGCATCGTTTGATGCGAGCAGCAGGAGAAGAAGAAATTGCAATTTGAAGCGAAGAATAAAGTAGAGAGGAATACGATGAACTCGACAAATTCAAGGACATTGAAAGATCTTGACTTGTTCCATCGATCTGATGAAAAAGATTAAAACAGACAGTCTCTCGAAAAAAGAATTCATCGTATATATTTATATGCGTCAATAATTGTATGTATCGGAATTTTGCGTAACTTTATTTTATTTCAATCTAAAAGAGATGTATTCTTTATGTAAATGTGTCTATTTAATATAAACAGAATTCTTTTAGCAGGAATTTCACTAATAATAAACTCGATATATAAATACTATGTTGAACAATTTTGCTATGAATAGTATTAAGATAAATCGAAGATAAGTTATTTTTCACAAACATGGGAGATTTATACAAAATATTATAATTAAAATTTCTGGCAATTTTTAAATCGATAACTGCACGCGCGATGAATCAATCAGTTGTGAGTCAATCAGTAAATCCGTTAACTTGCGGAAATTATTAGTCACTAGTCTCTCTCAGACCGTCGAAGGAAAGTGATTCCTGGAACACGAGGATCGTTCAGGGTCGAAGGAGTCAATTGTAGACTCGAGAGAGGTTCTACGATTCAGGATTCACGATGAGGAGCGTGATCGCGAAGAGTGCAGCAACCTCGCGCTAGGATCATCAGAAAAACGTCTAAATGATCCCTTGCCGAGGAAACCCGACTCGTTGGGCGAGTCCGCGTAAATCACTATTCGTTTGGGATGAAATTAATGTCAGTTAAAGGATACTATGATGCGATCGGCTAGTATGCTGGCTGAAATCGAATTAAGCAGCGCGAGTTTCGTAGAAGATAATGATTTATGACTTTTTATATTACATATTACATAATTGATCATTCATTAATAACTGTCATATTCACATCCACATGTGATTTATCGATTTATTTGAAATTAAAGTTGGAAACGTATGTTAATAAATTTATATTTCGCGATATTTTATTAATATAAATGATAATATAATAACATTTTTTATTAGAAGAGATATTCTAATTATTTTTCGTCATAAATCAATCTATCTATTATAAAATAGATTTTTCTCTAATCATTTTAACGAGATTGTGCTCGCTCTTTTCATGATCGTGATCGAATTTCTCATTACTTGGACCTTTAATCTAGAGTCTTGCTCTAGATTATAGTCTACAAATGACTTTATACATTTAACTCTTTAAATATTATAAGGAAAGTTGAGAAAAATCTCTCACTTGATACAAAAAGATGACTTTATTGTTCAACGTTGCATGGCGTTGAAGAATGAGCTTTTTGCCACTCGATTTGTGACTTCCTCGAAACTAGAAAAATCTTGAACTTATCGAAGGCTACAGAAAAGTTTGCTATCGAGATA